TCGGGGACTTGAACCGTAGTCGACTACGTGGGAGTCCGAGGACATAGCCATTACGCTAATTGCTGGTTCCCATTATCTTTTGTTGTAAAGAATTAGCATTTTCAGATAACAATGCTCTAAACCTCACTGTCCTTTTGAGGTTTTTCAATACTTTTTCACAACTATTTTATCTTATCCACAAAATAGTATGGGGAGGGGATGTTAAAGCAGGCATTTTCCCTCCTTTTCTCCAGCTTGTAGAATTGAGGTGTAGAGAGACCAGAATCCAAGAAAATGAATGTGAAGCCACGGTCTTACAACTTCTAACCCTAACCTGTTTCCACCAGGGTAGAGCTACTTCTCTAGGGGATGTGGATCAGAAGGTTGTTAACTGTGGATCTAGAAGACAAAGTAATTTTTCTGGCTGTTGAGTCAAACTTTGTGCCACCAATAAATTAATAATATGGATACATACATATAAAAGAAAAATCACAAAAACAAGGAATTTGAAAAGACCAGGGAAAGAAACAAGTCCAGGCTGGTTTTTGTATTTAAAGTCAGAAACTTCTAAAACTGAAAACTGAAAACTATGGGACTTTGAATAAAGAACAAAACACTCTTTTGAGTGTTTGTTAAAAATTAATCTCATTAAAAGGATGAGATTTTAATATAAAGTGCCTGCCTCATTGGCTGCCATTTGGTAGGGACTTACACAAATGTTTCACTTTCTTTTATTTAGGAAGACATGCTCCATGGTTTAATTTTTCAACTGCAAAACTAGATTTTAGCATCTGCTGTTTTGTAATGATGATTTAAGAAACATTATTTAAACATGAAAGGATAATTGAGAGAGTTGAAAGAACATGTAATCAAATCCCAATATCCATGTATGTAATATAAATACAATGGTTATGGTTCAAATGATAAAAGAAAAATCAGTGTGTTTTGTTTTGTTAAACATGTGAATTAAATGTTTCTAAGTTTTGTTCTGCTCTGAAATTATGATACTATTGTAGATGGGAGAAAAGGACAAAACTCTTCCTATATTTCCACCTCCCTCTTCTTTCTAGAATATTAAGCTAAGATTACAAAATGCTGTTTAGATCACATTTACAAGTGGTAGTGGTGATGGGGGGGAGGGTGGTTCTTTAAAAAATCATGTTCAGGGGCTGGCAGGTGGCATGGTGGGACAGTTGGACTCCCACATGGCTAATCGCAGTTCGAGTCCTAAACCTGGCAGCTTGCTTTCTCACTTTATTTCTCACTCTCTCTTTCTGGTCAACCTCAAAAATAAAATAATGACAATGAATAAAATTAAATCAAATCATTCTTAAAAATAAACAGTCATGTTCAGGGTCTTCTGTGCAGTAATTAAGCACTGTGCACTGCCAGTTTGGACCCCATATGGCTGACTTCTGTTTGAATCCTTGCCCTGGCAGCTTGAAAGACCCACTAGGCGTGTAGCACAAGTGCCCCAAATCCTAACAGGATGCAGAAATAGAGGAAATGGGGATTGTGGTGTGACCATGTCCTGTTGAAGGGTGCTCTGTCTCTCTCTGTTGAACACACATACCTATTAAAACAAACAAAAAATCATGTTCTTCCAGAAGACATTCCCCTATACTCGCCTCTCACCTATTCTGACACAGTAGGGACTGGGTGGGAAGTCGCTTCTTCAAGGAAGCACCAGTCTTCTTTCTGTCTCACTTTGCCTCTTGCTTAATCAGGACTGGATTTGCCAAATGCCTCTAGGTCTGTTCCTAGCTAGTTTTTTTTTTAATTTTATTTTTGCTTAATTTGTTGAGAGAATGCCTGCCCTCGGGCATGCAAATTATAGTAATTAGTGATAAAATTTGAGAAACTTTTTCCCTGGAGAGCTTAAATATAAATCCTGTTTCCAGCCAAATTATCAAGGCTGTTCACATCAAGGATTATGTTGATTAGGACATGAGCAAAACTAATTAATAAAGTGGCTCCATGTTTCCCATTTGCCGTCTTCCCTTGTGCGCAAGCCTCTCGGTACCGTGAAGGGGAAGATTAGCTGTGCTTCGGTGCACGTGTTACGTGTGTGCGTATGTTGGGATGTTGTTTGTGGGCATTACTGAAGCTGCTGGCTGTAATACCATCTAAATATTAAAATTATGTCACCAGCGCTAACAACCTAATGTTATTTTGTGGAAGGCACAATGGAAATGTAACAAAGAAAATCAGGCAGGGCTGGAGAGTTAGAGGTCGACTGAGGCAATATTAACACATAGATCACTGTTAAATTTAAAAGCTCAAACTAAGATTTGATAATCAAACTTAGAATGTTTGCAAGGAAGTTTACAAATATTACTGTAGTGAGTAAATTTCTTAGTTCCAAATATAAAACCGACTTAAATGGGAGTGCTTAAGTGGCAAGTTTTTCTACCAAAAAAAACAAACAAACAAACAAACAAAAAACTAAAAACTAAACAATATTATTATTCCTATTGTTATAAATGCCCTGGGTGCACATGTTAGGGTATTTTGTGTGTGTGTGTGTGTGGAGGGTGGTAATTTGGTGTGTATGAATTGTATACCTGTGTGGTACATGAGTGTATGTGTGTTTGGTGTGTATGAGTTGTATACCTGTGTGGTACATGTGTATATGTGTGTTTGGTGTGTACGAGTTGTATACCTGTGTGATACATGTGTGTATGTGTGTTTTATTGGGAATGATAACCAAGGGGGTCAGGACCATTTCTAACTGTAAAAATGTGTGGTAGTGGCTCAAAGAGGCACAGAAAACCAAGGACCCAAGCTGTGACAATGGCAGAGTCGCTAAAATAAAGGTTTCTAACAATTACATACATATAAAAATTCATGTCTGGAGCACTGGGTGAGTTACAATACAGTCAGAAGCGTAAGTCTTTCTATTTGTGTTTAGGCCCACCTCAGTGTTGACAGCAACAAATGATGCCACTTCCACAGTGATAAGAGAAAAACGGGTCACCTACAAAATCGTTACTTTTGTGAGAGAGCTGTGGCGTAAGGCAACCAAGTCAACCCTATTCCAAAGAGAAGAAAGCCTCTTTGAGGAAAGACAGGACACACACACTGCCCCACCACTGGCACAGCATGTCATAGAGAGATGGTGACCATCCCAGCATGTAAGAAGAAAACAGCTAACATCTTAACTGGGGAACTACTTTCTCCGACTAGACTTGTCAATCATAGTGGCCAACTCCAGGACTAGGCCCCTTCATGGAATCCTCATGTGACTACAGCAACATTCAAACTTCTGCAAAGTATATTTTATGCTCTCACACACTATGCTATAGTGGGAAGATTGACAAATGCAATACATTTCAGATAGACATGGTCTTAATCTCATCTTCCTCATTTTATCTTCTTTTGAAGATCTGTTTGAAATCCTACAATAAATAATTTTCAAATCTTTCATCTTGCCTGTGGTTGTTTGGATATGGAAAGAAAAATAAAAAGAGAGATGAGAGAATTTAGCAAGCGGAGACAGCTACTTTGCTTCTCAGATTAAAATAAAATAAAAGAGGTACTCCACAGTGAAAATTCAATGAATCATTGTGGTGAACTATTATTTATTTCCACTGAACTATTGGAAGTTGATCTCTGTATACGGGACCTTCTATATACAAATATCAAAAGCTAATTGCCAACAATCTTCATATTTAACATTTAACAAATCAATTCCCATCTAAGGAATGCCAGTCACTGACCTCATTAGTACTACCTGCACATCAATAATGGCAATAGGATTTGACCAGTTAAAGAAGTTGTATGTTTTCATTTTAAGTCATACTAAACCGAACATGACATGCTTCATTGACAACAAGATCATCACAGTTCTCCATGCCAGCAAAACCAAATGACTTACAAGATGTCAATTCTGGAATTAATTATAAAATGATACCATAGAACATTCTGAAAACAAGTTGCGATTTTTTTTAAGCTTACTTTCCCCATGAATAAGAGAGACAGAGACAGAAAAACAAGGAGACAGATATGCCGAACAAGGTCCTTACATCACGATCCATCTTCATGTCACCTGGTATGGTTCATGGGCATATATATATATGCATATGCCCAGCATGTACAGGGCAACCTATGGACACAAACCTAGGATTCCTCTCATGTGGGTCCACTCATGCTACCATGGAACCACCATGGGTCTAGCCTCCAGGTATGAGAGTTTTATATACACATTTAGAGCATGAGCTTGGCTGCCTGGGTCAGCATTAGCTTTTCCTGTTAGCTGAAGAGCCTTGGGATAAGTTACGAGTTTTCTCAGCTCAGTTCTCTAAGCTACAATACTTGGATGTTAATAATTAAATCATAGGGATTGTCGTGAATATTAAACAACCAAATCCATTTAAGCAATAGGCCTGGCACATAGACCAGGCTATCAATACCATGAAAGGCAACCAAGTCTAGTATTACCTTTCGCTATCATCCTTACATTGCAGAGGCAAAAACATCACCTCAGAATAGTTACAATACTTATTTAAGGAAACACAGCTATAACATAACAAATGCAGGCCTAAAATATGAGTTTAATGCCTTCTAGATTTTACTCTTTATAGTAACCTTTTTTAAGCTCATAATTTGGTTTACATATGTTATCTGAATCATCAATGTTTTGATTAAGTCTTTTTCAAGATCAAGAACAATAAATTTATGTAAAACAGAAGAGACCAAGTTTATGTACTTTTTAAAAAAGTATTCCATAAACTCATGGATTACAAGAAAACCGAAGATAACCCAAAATAAATTGCAGCTGTAATCAAATACATACTCATTGGACATACTAAGCATATTGTTTCAATTAATGGTGACATATAAAAACAATTTTTCTCTTTTATTTTCTCTAACATCTCAACATGAAATTGGTCATTTAAATTGCAATTACAGAAGCAAATATATTTGAAGCATCGTCACAACTGACAAGGCTATATACCAATTAAAGCAACACTTTTTTTGCAGCAGAAAAAAATAGAAACACTGAATGTCAGAATACTTACTGCAGCTTGTCGATGGGTGTTGGACAATATTCCGTGAATCTTCACTTTGTCTTTTTCCATTTGGTCTATGTTTACCCACAAATCCCGGCTGGCAGAATCAGATGGACCGTAAATCCGAGATATATAGTAATTATGGTCTGTGTCTTCCTGCAATAATAGAGAATAATGTATGTCAAGAATAGAGATATGGTCCTAAAAACACTTTTAAAAAAATCTTGAAATTGGAATTATTAATAGTCTTAAAATGGCCAAATGGTTGAAATAACTTCTAATAGAAGTGAATTAAGATGAAGATAATCCTCTCCAGAAGAAACTGCCAAATATACAAAACTTAGAAGCAAATGTATATTCTGTAAGCAGTAGTCTTTCTTGCCATGATAATGAGAGAGATCTTTCTATAGTTGTCATCGAAAACACCTCTTTTAGAACTGTTTACTGGAAACCTGAGCTATACTTACTACTGAATGACAACAAATTCTAATTCCTCTTCTTTAAAAATAAGGTTGTATCTGGGACCAGCAGATGGCATAGTGGTTATGATACTGGATTTTCGTGTAGTTGACCATGATTTGAGGTCTGACCCAGCAGCTTAAACACACATCAGGCACATGTGCATGTGTACCCAAAATCCAAAGAGGAGAATGGAGGAGAAGGGACTGTGGCATGGCCATCCTGCCTGGGGGCAGATTTCTCCCTTTCTGTCTCTCTCTGTCTCTTCAGTGAGTGTACCCACCCTATAACAAAAATCTCTCAAAAAAAAAAAAAAAAAAGGAAGAAGGAAAAGAAAAATAAGGCTGTATCAGGGCCTGCTTTTGGTTAACAGTCCTAGAAATGAAGATAATGTATTTCTCTGCTTAATTTGGGGTTATTAAATTCTACTTTTATTTGAGTCTTCATTATTGGTATCATCATCATCATGAAGCCTGTCACAAAGACTTTACTTTCCATATTTCCCACTCAACAAAAAGTGTCAACTTTTGTAAAGGCAATTTTGCTGAGAAACACTTAGAAAAATAATAATACAATTCTTGGCTAATTCTGATTGCAATTTTATTTAAAAAAATCAGGAAATAGAAAGGACCAGCAGTTGGCATAATGGCTATGACGCTGGACTGCCACGTAGTCAACCAAGATTCAAGTCCCAGACCCAGTGGCTTAAACTCAAGCTGGGCAGAGAATGGAGAAGGGATTGTGGCATGGCCATCCTCCCCGGGGGGTGAGTTCTTGCTTTCTGTCTCTGTCTCTCTCTGTCTTTCTGGCGAGTGCACGTGCCCTATAGCAAAAACCTCTCAAAAATAAATCAGGAAATACAATTATGCTTATACATTTGAGGAGTCACTGGATACAATATGTTTTACAATATTTAGGTAATTAGAAAAAATAAGAGGGCTATGATTTGAATAAGATCTAGGATACGAATTTTGTCTAATGCATTTGTGCTACCTTAGCACTAAAAAAATGAAATACAATTATTCTTGAGATACAATAAAAATGAAAACCTCACATGCTTTTTCACAAGACATAATTATTAATCAATATTATATGTATATATAGACACACATATATGTGAATATATATATAAACACATGCACACACACACACACACACACACATATATATATATATACAGAAAGAAAGAGCCAATTCAAATAATATTCAAAGTAGTATTCTAAATAGATTTGCCTCTTAACTAAATAACATAGGGTCCAAAATACCAATGTTGAGTTTCTATTTTACAATAAATATCCTAGGAATAGCTCCAATTATACTCTGGGTATCACATACAAATTATCTATACACCCACATGAAAGAAAAGAAATATCTGCAGACAAGAAGAAAAATAGGAATGCAAAGAAAGAAGCAGGAAAAAGATCCCACATATCCAAGAGAGCCTCTGTGTCCAAATGGGTTTTTGGCCTTTCCTCCCAGATCATTATAACACTGATGATGGAGTGGATTCTCTAAAGGCAAAGAGCACTGGGGTTGTATCTCCAGTGTGTATTCAACTCCTCTTGTTCACCACTGGAAGCCTCTGAGGCAGATATCTTCCCTGGCTTTAGGCACAAGCTATTTTGCACATGTCATTCTACTGGCCACAGTGGTTGGAGGACATGCATGAGCACATAACCTAAGGAGGACCAGATAGTGAGATATTAGGACATTAGGCAGAGAGAAAACAATTTCCTCATTCTGAATGCTACGTATAGGTGTGAGACTTGGAACTACTGCCTCTATCTTGCTACTATAAGGAATTCCTGCCTGAAGATACAGTAAGAACCATGAACACTGTTAAAAAAAAAAAAAAAAAAAAAGCCAGATCTATGATCAAGAATATCTAAATGTGTTGAGACCAGTAGGTGGCGTAGGAGTTAAGGTGGCATGGACTCCCACATGGCTGACCAAAGTTCAAGTCCTGGAACTGGGGGCTTGAAAATCACACTAGGCATGTGTATGTATGTCCAAAAGCCCAGGAGGAAAATGAAGGAGAAGGGATTGTGGTGTGGCCATCCCCCACAGGGTATGATTTTTCACTTTCCCTTTCCTCTCTCTCTTTCTCTTGAGAGTGCATGTACCCTAGGTTAAAAAAAAAAAAAAAAAAAAACTAAAAAAACAAACAAAAACAAACTAAATGTGACCTACTGCTGGACTTGTTTATTTTGACTTACCATTAAATTTCTTCTATTGTTAAATCACCTTGAGTTGGGTTACTATCTACCAAAAGAATCCTAACTGAAAAACAGGTTTATCTTATTTACAACCAAACTTACGCAATAACTAAACTTAAGCAACATTAAATAAAACAATCATGACAGGTTTATAAGTCTCAATAACAAACACCTCTCATTCAACTCTGGTATTTCTAAGTAATCACATAGCAGAAATAGAAGCTTGTATTTAACCTGCAAGAAAAAAATCAGGTCTGAAAAACAGAAAGAGTCATTTACTTTTTGTTTGAGAGGTTTTTACTATAGGGCGCGTGCGCTCGCCAGACAGAGAGAAACATAAAGACAGAAAGCGAGAAATCACCCCCCCAGGGGGGATGGCCATGCTGCAATCCCCTCTCCTCCATTCTCCTCTCGGGATCTTGGGCACGCACGCACACGCGCCCGGCGTGAGTTTTAAGCCACCGGGTCCGGGACACGAACCGCGGTCGACTACATGGGAGTCCAGCGACATAGCCATTACGCTAACTGCTGGTCCCAGTCATTTACTTTTTGATGAACAGAATGAAGGGGTGGTTTTGGAGAAAACATTCAGTGACTTTAAATAAAAAAAATTTCCAATCCCTATTGTTAGTATTATAAACATTTTTAGATGAATTATGTAACAGTTTCTATGGTGCTATCAAGTTTCTGTAAAATTACTAAATATTCTCTTTAAAATTTTGAACTTTCAGAATAAAGCTCAGTATAATTGCCGAGGTCAACATTTGTAAAATGAACTTAATATTGTCTTTAATACTAAGTTTCTATACTTAGTTAAGAAATGGTCTTGAAAGTAAACATTAAAAAAAACAAGAATACTACTTTAAAGGATGGATTATATGCAAAACTATGTGATTTCTGACTCATAACAACATATTGATGTGGCTATATAAAAATACACTTTCATACTTGCTTAAATCAGAGCTGTCAAAAGCAATATCACATCTTTGAAATTATTGAAAAGCTAAAGACTAGAGCTTGCTATTTGACTTCTATAGCTCAAGCTTGCCAAGTTGTCATGGCAACTTTTATTGAAAGAGGAAGAAAATTTATTGTTTACCTAGGAATGTAGAGACACAAGTTGTTAAATTCCAAAGAGGTGTTTGGCTTTGATATTCAGGAAAGCCATAAAATAGACTTTCAAAAATATGACATTTTAGTACTACTAAATTATTCAAACCATGTCTTGTCCTTTTTTAGGAGTAATGGTACTTAAAGAGTTGTCAAAAGCCTCTCTGGTCACAATGATTTTTATTTTCTGTTTCAAGGCAAACTATTTCTAACACCATAGAACATAAAACAAAGCCCTCCTGTGATATGCCTAGTTGCCAATTCATTTAGGAAACCAACTGTTACTGAAAGTAGATGGCACAATAGGTGGCTATAAATCCTATAAATCCACTTCTCAGAAATGCCTGGAAATGTGCAGCTGTAGACTGAGGGCACACTGCAGAAACAGAGACGAAAAGTCATCACGGTTGCAGCTCAGCCATTCAAGAACAATCAGTCGGTATATCCCCAACTCAAATGCAACTTTCTCTTGGATTAGGGGTGCTAAGTTGATTTTATGATGGATAATTTTTGCAAACACCTCACACTGCCTTATGCAGCAATGGCATTTGAACTTCAAATTCATGTCAATGAGAACTTTAAAGAGAATGATCAGGAACATACTGTATGGCCAACACTGTGTAGTCATTCGATATGCATGGATACATAAAAAACAATCAAAGTTTTCAGGTAAAGCTACTTAGCATCGAACCAATTGGCTACTTCTCAAAGATTGGTCCATAAAAAGTGAATATTATAGTTTGAATGGTTTTTTGCTAGGTGTTCGTAAATATATTCCTACAAGAATAGTTCACAAGTATTATATAGATCATTTAACACTAAATATTTTAAAATATTACTTGTGTATATTATACTCCTAGAACGTAAAGAGTTAAAAAAATAGTTTTCTGGAATCAGCAGATGGCATAGCCACTATGTCACTGGATTCCCACATGGCCGACTATGGTTCGAGTCCCAGTCCCAGTGGCTTGAAACTCACACCTGGTGAGTGTGTGGGTGTGTGTACCCAAGATCCTGGGAGGAGAATGAAGGAGAAGGGACATCTCCAATCCAGGAAGAGAACCTCCACCAAGAACCCAGTCAGCTAATATCTTGATAGGAAACTTTTAGTCTTCAGAACTATGAAAAAATACATTTCTATTGTCTAAGCTACTCTGTCTATGGTATTTTGTTGTGACATTCCTAAATGACAGGATAACAGATTATTATATAAATTATAGGAGAAAAGATCAAATATGAATGTAGCAGGCATAAAATGTTTTAAAATATATTAGAAGAAAAATATTTGAGATAAAGAAAGACTTTCATCTGTACGCCATGTCCCAAGAAAATTTGCAATAGAATTTTTATTTATTTATTTATTTATTTATT